TTCCAGACCCTGGAATAGGCACAAACTCCCTGGAATAGGCACAAACTCCCAGGCTCCTTCTGACTGCATCAGTCACTCTTTTAGCTTAAGAGCAGAGTGTGTAGAGTCCAAATTTGCAGGAATAATTGGTGATTGGGGTGTGTTTTCATCTTTTTCCTGCCCATCTTAACATAGAACAGCTCTCAGAGGTCAGTACCCACAGACCCATCTCCAGAGCAGCCCCCCTTGACATTCCCACATTGCTCCCCAAAGATCAGGAGCATCACGAAGGTTTGATAGAGCCGGGGCTCAGCTCTGTCTCCTCTCCCCCTGCAGAGTTCTCCATCAGCAGTTTCTGCACCGTGGTGGACGTCATGAACTACTCCAGGCTCCAGGTCCTGCGGCTCGACGGGAACGAGATCAAGCGAAACGCCGTGCCCCCCGACGCCCCGCTGTGCCTGCGGCGTGCCACCATCATCGAGATCTAGCCTGGCCCCCGCCCGGCCCCCTCCCCATCCTCAGGACTTGGCTCTCCCGTTCCTGGGGAGACGCTCACTCCCACTTTAATGCAGCTTGACAGTTTGACTTGGCTTCCGCAATAGTGCAATAAGGGTACTCCGACACCAGCCCACGCAGGTGGGCAGGAACCATTTGGCCCCAAATGCTCCTTCTTCCTGGCTCTTCAACCACGTGGGGTGGGATAGATCCCAGCACAGTTCCCCCTCTGACCCCACCACAGCCACCCCAAAAAGTGCTGCACCCCCATTCACCTTCTCCCCTGGTTTTGGGTGGGATGCGGCAGGGATGGGGGAGAGCTCATCCCACCTCTCAAATGTGGCGCTGGGCATCTGAGCCCAGTGGGGAGGGTTTCAGGTATGGGTCCTGCAGAACCAGCAGATCTCAAACCACCAAGCCTGGTACCACTGGTCACCAGAAGGAGCACCTGGGAGGTTGGGAGCTACAAGTAAAGGATTAAAGATTTCCTGGCTGCCAGCATCCCTCAGTCTAGGATGGAGAAGAGCAAAACCACTCTTCCCCCTCCATTTTCCCCTGTTCCACCAGCCTCCCGCTCCAGAGATAGAGCTAATGGGAGAGAGACCTTCCCGAGCGGCTGTCAGCTGCTTAGGTTAGAAACACCCTGAGAAGCAGCCCATGATGGTGTGGGGAGGTCTCATCTTCCTCCCAGACCACCGGTTCAGGGCAGGACCTGGGGTGAGGGATGGGGCAGCTCCCGGTGTGCAGCCCCCGGCCGCCTGGGGAGCCCCCGCACGCCTGGCTCCATCCCACCCACCAGCACGGCCCTGTGCTCCCCTCCCCGCCCAGACAACCAGGGTCTCCCATTTAAAAAAAAAAGAAAAAATAATAATCCGTGACACATGCATCTGCAGCACATCCAAATTCGCCAAAAGCCAAACCCACCCAACTTGGTTCCTTGGACGGTTTAGTTTGAGGACCACAGGGGCAGCTGAGCTTTGGAGATGACCTGCAAAGCTGAAGAGGTCATCCAGACCCTCTGCATTTAAACTGCATGCTAACACTATAGAAACAAAAAACCCCCAAAAAACCCTGTACTATCACCGACGCATGAACTGTAGATCTCATACCGACGAATAAAGCCCTTTCTGTAACTGCACAAAACGTGTCTGAGGAATCCCAAACGCAGAGACCAGGGGTTGAGCATCCCGGCTGCTCTGAGCACCGTAACCTCCCCTCTTGCAAACCAGATTTTTTTTTTTCCTGCAGACGTGATCCGGGCTGGATTTGCCTTCTAGTGGTTGTACCAGACACAACATGTGCATACACCGCCTTCCCCGCACCGAGGAGCTGCTGCTCCAGCACATTCCAGATGGGGTCCAGGCAAGGACGTTTATAGAAGGAAAAAATACACATGGAAAAGTGTCAGTTGAGAGAGGGAAGGGATGGTGGTGCCACTGGCACAGTACTTCTGGTCGTCATTTTCCGGATGCTTTCATGTTCTCCAGTCTTCAGCCCTGCTTATTTTTAACAGCTAAGCTGGAGGATGCTTAAAAAAAAAAAATTTCACATGGGCAGGATTTTTACAGCTCGGGAGTTGCACAGAAAGTGCCATTTCCCAGCCTGCGGGTCTCTCCCAAGCACACCGGGGGCTCGCTTGGCTCCGGGTTGGTGCCAGCCGGGAGCTCTTGCAGAAGCCAGAAGACCCCACTCCACCCCTGTCCCCATCCTCTCCTACATCCCAGGGCAGCAGAGGGACACACACCCCCTCATCCTGACCTCCCTCAGCCAAACCCTGCTCCCTGCAGACATGCGAATCCTCCCAGAGGTGCCCAAGGACCCCGAACCAAAAGGGGACCTCACTGCACACCCAGCTGGCCGAGGACCCCTGGGCTGTCACTAGATGTCGGCGTTGCCCATCACATGTGGCCCTGGCCAGGCTGGCAGGGTGGCCCTGGCTTTCCCTCCCCAAAGCCACGTCCCCAGAGAGCAGCACCCAGGTTTGGGAGCTGCCCTGCACCCAGGGGTGCCCACCACAGCCGGTACCTGCTTGGGCAAGGCTGGGCTGGGACACAGGGTGAAACCCAGCTCCATTCAGGGGATGAAGGGCTCAGAGGGAGGCAAACTTGACCCTGCTTCTGCAATAGCGAGAGATGCTCATGCCAGGCTACCCCAAAGGCTGGCACCAGGGGAGGGAATGCCCCAAGCCCCCAGGGACGTGCAGCCGGTCAGCTCCAATGCAGGAGCCTGTTGGCATCTGGGACCAGCTCTGATCTTTCTGCCACCAGCCCCCAGGAGAAGTGCCACAGCCCATCCTCCTCCTCCTCCTCCTGTGGCAGCACCCAGCAGGCCAGGCAGGAGGGGGACAGGGACAGGACTACGAGCACCCAAACCCATGCCATGTCTCCATGCTCTTCAAAAGCAGCAGGGGATGATGTTTGCAGGATCTACCTACAAACCGTCCGAGCACCACACTCCTCCTCATGCTCCAGAGCTGCCCAGGCACCAGCACACACCACTTCTTGTTCCCAGGTCAGGTTTTTGCTTCAGAGCATCCGCACCCCTTCCCAAATCAACACCAGCCTGCAGGAGTCCAAGGGGTATCTGTAGGGAGACCCCAGCACATCACCTTGGGGGGGACCAGGCAGCAGGGTCTGGGGGCAGCAGAGCAGAACCCAGGAGAAGCAGCCACCCAGTGCAGCTTCCAGCAGCTGATTTATCCACAGAAGGCATTTGGGATTACTGATTTACACCAGCTGGGGCACTGGCTCTGCATCCAGGGGTGGAGGTGAGGGGGCAGGGGGTCAATGCAACCCATTGCCCTCTCCCCTCCCAAAAAAGGGGGGGAGACCCCATTGGTCCTGGGTGAGCCCACGGGTGCCCAATCACCGCCTTGTTGTGGGGGGAGATAGCAGGGATGGGGGCTTGGCCCCCCTCCTCATCCTCCTCTTCCTGTTGCTGGGAGGAGGTGCCGGGTCTGGGGGGCCCCAGCAGCCCGTATCCCACTGGGGAGGAGGAGGAGGAGGGAGGAATGCAAGGCTTTGTCCGCAGAGAAGCCTAAAGGAGGGAGAAACCCCAAACCAACTGAAAAATAGCTCTCCAGCCCCCTCGGGGGTGTGCCCTGAGCACAAGGGCTTTGTGGGGCTGCTGCAGGAGGTACCGGCAGCTGCAGCCCCCCCCAAAGTCACGTTTGGACTGTGGGGTCCTCCCAAGGACTCTCCTTGGGTGGGATGTCAAGGACACCCCACTGCTCCTGCCGGGCTCGCTGCCCCCTGCCATCCCCCCCTGCCTGCAGAGGGGCTCCAGCCACGGGCGTTGGGCCTGGGCACCCACCTTGGGGCTGTCCCTGCACGAGACCCTAAAAACCAGCAGCTCCCACAGCGTACCCCATGCAGATGGGCAAGATTTTTCCAGAGCTCCCCTGAAACCCCCCAAATTTCATCTCTGCTTCTTTCCAGCCTCTCCCCCCAGATTCTCCTCACGTTTTTCCCCTGCTTTCCAGCATCCATCAGCTCGCGCGCTTCCCAGGCCGTTTGCAAACATCCCTTTAGGAGGATATTTCCCCAGGAAGCACAGGATTTGTGTTTAAAAACAACCCCTCCAAATATTTTCCTTTGGAGAAGTACACAAGAAAGCAGCAAGGCAGCGGGCAATGGGTTTAACCCTAACGTGGCCGGAGGAGTCCGGGGTGGGCAGAGCCACCGCTCCGTTAAGGGACGTGAGCTCCAGGTCTGTCCCTGTGCTTCAAATTTGGCATGCAAGCATTTGCAGAGCTGGCATGAGTCCTGGCCCAGGGAAGTGTAACCCAGCATCACATCCTTCAGCGCTTCCCTTTGCTCAATTCTTCTTGGATTTAACCTAAAACCGTTATTGAGTGGAGAAGTTGCGAGGACAAAAGGATCGGTGGCCAGGTCACGGCTGCCAGCGCCACGCCTGGCCATCTGTAGACGTGCTCACGATGAGACGAGCAATAAAAGTTGATTATTAATAAGCTGTTTGGATCCGGCCCGCGGCAGCTGCGATGTTGCTGGGAAGAGATAAGAAAACTGCGGAGGCAGCGGGAAAAGACACCAGGGAGGGGCCGGGCACATCGCCAGCGGAGATGGCCAAGACCCCTGGCCTCCCCGGCATCACTCGGGGACGTGCCAGGATCCCATTTCACAGAGGAGCAGACTGAGGCTTGGAGGGATGGGGGGGGGTCCTGCTCCCACAGCTCCACATCAGGAGCAAAACAGAGATGGGATTCCGGTGCTTGGGATTTGGGGGTCTCGGGATTTTGGGTTTCTCCACCCAGTTCCATGAGGATGAGTAGCTCAGGGGCCAGAGCAGCTTGTGGGGGTCAGACCCTCCCCGAGGGACTGAACACTTTTGGGGGGACCACTGGGGAAAGGCGCTCCCACTCCCCACACGCCCCCAGCAGTGTTTGGGCATGGGGGAGAGGGATGGGCAGGAAATTCCCAATCTGTTCAGCTCCCATTCTTGCCTCCCCTTTTGTTTCACTCGCCATCTGTCCCACAGCCCCGCACGCCCCACGCTCCCGCTGCACGTGCCATAAATATCAAGACGGGCTTTGTCTCTGCTTCAAAAGGCAGCGTGGACCCCGCGCCCCAGCCCTGCCGTGGCCCCCAGCCCTCCCCAACAGCGGCTGCTGCCAGCCTTAAAGCTGCTGGGGGCTGGCATGGCCACGGAGGCTTTCTGTGCTGGCCAGCTCGCTGTCAGGGGGTCGGGGTTTGGGGGGGACAGGCTCAGCATCACTCTCCTCCTTCTTCCTGCCCCAGCAGGTTTTTGGGTCTGCCCTAAAAGGGGGTGCATTGCTCTGACACCGCAACCATTCGTAGGATCCAGGAGCATAGCCTTGGGGCTGGCGCTGAACCCTGTCACCAAAGTCATTCCAAAGGGGAAAAGGAAGGAAAAGGAAAGCTCAGCCCCCTGTACGCTGGCAGAGCTCGGCACAGCCCCCCGGCAGGCTCTGCATCGGGTTGCAGCCCGAAATGGTGCCGCAGTCTGCGCTGAC